ACGTGTTGACACGTGTTTAGAGGTAGCAGCGTTTCAGCAATGATCAAGTGCGCAGTCGAATATATTTGGCGCTACTGATTTATCTCTAATACTCCCATTGCTCTCCACTGCCTCGGCTCGGTCGCATCCTAAGAATGGCTACCTAGGGTCTACCGCTTCGTGTTTTATTTGCGCTTCCCAAGTCCAGTTAGAAGGAAGACGGAAGAATGACTCGTCGAGGAGGATAAGAGAGCGAACGGACTATTTGTTGCACGTAGGCAAGTATGAGTTATATGGTAGGTAAAGCAAAGATTTTCTGCATAAACACTGAATGTTTACTATTCCTCTTTCATTTCGTTACGATTTCATTCATATCTCTCTTCGCAGTTCGGAACACAACCCGAACTCATTATTATATCTCCCAGGAAGGTATTGGATGGACGCTTTTTTCTTCATGAAAACTGATAGTTTCATTCTCTATTCAAGGCAGGATTTGAAAATATTGATTAAAAACGTATTTCAAGTGAGGTTATATTCGGAAGTAAACAAGGCACTCACCGTTTTCGACCACTAAACCTTTGTTATGCGCGTTCTGACACGTCAAATTGCACAGGCATCCGGCGGCACAAATCGAGATGTTTTCATCCTGACTGGCCAGCAACTGGATGAGCAAAAGTAGGAGACTTTTGGTGCCTGTCAGATGAAAAGCTTGATCGCTCAAATTACGCAATCCCCAGAGTGTTTCCAGTTGGAGCACATCACTCGTGGATTGGAGAAGTGGAGTTAAAGCCTGAAACGAAAGATAAATCACGGGGACGAAACAGATGATAGATTGAAAAATGCGAGGAAATTTTGGTTCAGAGGAAGCATGAAGTAGATGTAAAGTGGTTGATCTAGCAGCACAGAAAACTTAGAGATGAGATGTAACTTCACACAGACACAACTACTTTACACGAAATAAGATAAGCGTAGGTTCCTAAAGAAGAAGATTAAATCGAAACAGTTGTGACTGTACCACTTGAATGACACAAATACGATGAACTTGCGACGAAGATCTGATTTAGATATTTTGAAGCCAGTGAGCTGGCAAACACCGATTGCTTCGCTCGTTCATACGGTACAACAAAATATGATTAATAAGTGGTATCGAATACCAAAAAAGATGAAAAACAGAAAGTGAACACAATGTGGTATCCATCACCAACCATCTAAATAGATTGTTAGAGGATTATTGTTTAGTCTGTATTGCAGGCAACTTACCTATTCGGATAGCCTCAAATTTGAGTCACGCCATTGCAGCAGCCGCCGCCACCACCACCACCACAACCAACAGTTATAACAATAACCGATTTTAGTGATAACCAAGTACACAGTAGTCTGGATTACTGCTGCGTCCTACTCATTTGAGCTTTATACAGCCATTCAGTTTAATCACCGCAGTTAAAATTGCGTAGATCTTCGCGAGTATATTTTTTTACCACATCATGACCAAATGATGATAGGAGTGTATCGAAAAATCGATGCGCCGTGTGTTGTTTTATCGAGAATGTTAATGTTATAGAGTTAATAACACAGCGATGTCAGTAGAGAATTATATTCGCCGACGTTTCGGTTACCGTGGGTAACCTTTCTTTTTTTGATTGTAAAACCTG